TGCTTCCAGAATCTTCCAGATACTCTGAGGAAAACACACCTCACATGGAAGTGGATGAAATGGAACATGCACATATTTGATCAAATTGGTGAAACATCAAATCCATAAATTTCACATCACATCCATAAATGTCCCGATTCTAGAGAAAAGCCGTCTTCCAATGGACCATGCCATCCGCTTGCAAGTGATGTAGTTGTCAAAGTGTTTCAAGTGCGATTGAAGGGCAAGACTATGCAAATCACCACTTGCAAAACCTTCCCTGAGCGGTGAAGGACCTTGTGTTGCCTATTCAAAATTACAAACATGGCTAACTTCCTCAAACACCGTTTGCGACGCTTGACCTCTGGAAACGGACCAATCTCTGAATGAATGTGATCGACTGAAATCCAACTAATTGCAGTGGCTGCGATGTCGCTCCGTCGATGACATGAACCATTGGCTTGGGCATCCAATTCCGGTGTCAACCATTGGCTAGAACAGTTCTTACCCGTCTAGCGTCTTTGGTGTTAGATGAGTCCGCCAAGTCACATCTCCTCTGGCCGCCTTCATCAAGTTGGACCATTCTGGAGTATGAGTAGTCACAGTCAGGAGACACCTTCCATATTATCACGATTTGGGCTGCTCATGGAGAATCCCCGGCCAAAGACTTTCATCTATGTAGCCGTGTAGAAGGTCTCCATGGGTCACCAAGGGTGAAAATCACATGGTGCTTGCCGTGAAAACCTTGGAGGAACCTTTGGCTGACATGCGTTGGTCAGATTCCACCGCAGGCCGAAAGGATGCAAAGCTCCCCAAGATAACAACGCCTCCTTTGTTTCACATGGCGTGGAACCCAGCTCGTCATGGGCTTGGCTTGGTGCACTGTGCGCAACAGTGCTCACCCACCCCACTTGCACGGGAAAAAATATATAGCTTCTTCCCAGCGACAATGTCCGGGCTGGCCTGGCACACGCGAGTTACTTGTCGGCTGAGTGGATGCCATTATATGCAATTTACGTTCTGTGCTCGCCTACGCTTCAGCAAATGTTCACACACAATGCCGATCAATCCCAGGAAAACTCATTGAACGCACCCATGTCAAGTTGTGATTGGTTTGAACGCACCCATCCTTCTTTCCACGACTCCATGATCAGCACTGCGATGCTTGGGCTGACGGATTTCGGCTCGAAGTTCCGACCAGAAAGGGAAGGGGAAACCTTCGATTCGATGACGAGAGAGCGCTGCTGATTCTTCCGAATCCTGTTCTGCTGATGCGGCTGCAACATAGAATCCAACAACAGCAACAACACCAACAACAACAACAACAACAACAACAACAACAACAACAACTACTACTACTACTACTACTACTACTAAGTTACTACTACTTCTTCTTCTTTTCCTCTTGCAGCCACCCAAAAACCTCTAGCGGAACAACTTTGGCTCCGTGGCTCGCCCGTTTCCACCCGTTTCGAGCCCCTCCCAAATGGACCGCTGCCTCCGGCTCCGGCACCTGTCACAGCGGTCCACCGGCACCGGCACCGTGACGCCGGCCCCGTGAGCTCCCAAGAAAGCGTCTCAGCTTCGCAGGTGTGATCCCAAAGCTCCAAAATAGTCTCTCCCCCATCCAAATCCTGAGAATCCCCCCATGATATGACAAGATCCATTGCAATAGCTGTCGAAACTACACGGTTCATAGAATCAGGTTGACATTTCACAAGTAGTTTGGCAAGCAGGAATGAGTACATACTGTAGACATAGAGCAACTGTGCAGGGTACTTTCAGATGGGACATGTCGTCAAATGCGAAACATCTTCAGCGCAAGCTCTTCTGAGTATACACGCGTTTCCGGCACTTTTCCGCGTTGACCTTCAATCCCAGCCACACAAGAAGCGCTCAGCATCGCTCAGCAATGAATATTCGATGCTGCCCCTCGTCGCTGCCACAGGCAATGAAGCTGGTTTACGAGTCCTATTCTCTTCCAAAACGAGCTATGTCCCTCGGAAGGCAGTAGCCTCCGCAAACATGTTATGGGTGGGCGGAGTGTGTGGCACCGCTGAGACATACCTTGCCACATCTCCGACATACCACAGCATCTAAGGCCTTCAGCCCTGCAGCCATACAGCATGATTCAAACGTTGAACACTAAGTACCTTCAGAAGGCACCTGCTGCCTATCCATGTAACCTACCAGAAGTGGTACGAGAAAAAAAAGAAAGAAAGCTAACTTAAGCAAACACCCGTGAGTCATGAGATAGTGCAGCCCAACAGTGTCACACACTTCACTTCAAAAGGGATCTTAGCCGCTTCCGAATGTACTTGCAGGGGATCTCCTTTCCACTGGGTGCTTGTTTGCATCCTTACAATCATTACTTGCACATTGCAAAGAGTTGCGCAACTCAGTCAGTTCAACCACGGGACTGGACTATTCCCTCGCTCTCCATCTCTCTCCCCCCTCGCATTCAGATCAAATTGGTCCAGCCAGGTCGGGTTGGGGGGTGAGAAACCAGGCCAAGCAGGCTTTCGGCGCTCAAGAACTTCAGCCGAATAAAATGACATAATACAACCGGCAAAGCAAAGCCTGTGTGGCTGACCAGTTTGCATGGTTTGTCGAGCAACCTGAAGAGCAACATCGAGGGCAGTGTGTCGTCGGTGCAGTGCAGGGTGGCTGACCTGAATCTTGCTGAATCGCCACGCCATCTCAACCGTCCGGCAACGGCCCTAGAGACCCACCCTTGATATGAATCTGCTACTGTCACTAAATGACCTGATTGTAAACAAAATGGTCGGTAGATCTGGGCTGGAGAGCATCTATTATATATTTACTTATATTTAAATAAGGCGTGAACCGATCGACGTTAAAAGTCCCCCGTTCATTTGCATCTTTTCCACGACTGATCCCAGGTGCCACACTCAGTCATCCCAGCGAATTGGTTGGTTGGACAAACTCAAAGGGCGGAATCTGCAGGAACCAAGTTCATCAAGTGGATCAAAACGATCAAAAATAAGAGGTCCAAGGGCCCAAGGGATCTAAAATCTAAAAGCGAGAACCCATCTGCCGCGGTGCCACCTACCAGTCAGCAGGACGAACGGAATCATAACTGCGGCCTGCAGTTTGGTCAGCCACCCACATCGAACGATTCGTTCGATGCACGGTGCGAGCACCTCTCTGCCGATCCTTCCTAAGATCCGAGCTTGCCATCCAAAAGAACGGTGGGCAGTCTCATGATGCCTCCTTCTGTCTTAAGGTCCGGTAAGGTAGCACCCAACAACAACTCCCGACCTGGATCATCCAACATCATCCAACGCATGGTCCAATGGAGATCCCTACAAGCGGCGTACTTAAGTCAACCCACGTCGCGTGAAGTCAACTCACTGCATGGGCACAAGGCTTCAGCAGAAGCCAACCCACTCGCGTGAAGTCGACTCATTTTGGTCAAAGCACAATCGGCACACTTGAAAAACACGAAAGCGACATGTTCAAGGAAACGTGTGCGCACACCGTGCTATGGCTGGCATTTTGCCTTGCTAGCTGCTTTCTAGATGTTTCAAGCCCAAGTCTCAATGGCGCAGCACCATTCACACCAATGCGCAACTTAGAGAACAGGTTGCACGTGCACACACAAGTGACATGTAGGCCTCTGCGCGAGCCCCGCGCGACCCGCGCGAGGTTCGCGCGAGCTTGACTCCTGTAGACGCCCCACGGCTTCCTACGGTCACCGACGACACTTACAGCCAAACGCGAAAGTCCTTGCAAAGCCCTTGCAGCACTTGTTTCCGCATGGGGCACAGCAGCAGGAGCAACAAGCCAGCTGCAGCAAACCAGCAGTCGCCAACCAGCACAGCAGCAGCACCCAACCAAAAGCAGCAGCAGCAGCAACAGCGGCAGAGGAAGCAACAGCAAACCAGCCGCCAGACAGCACAGCAACAACAACAGCATCAGCAAACCAGCAGCATCGGCAGAAGACCAGCTGGGCCCGAAGATCCTTGCTTCACCCCTGTGGAAGAAGCTGCCTCATAAATACAAACGAGTGACAATCAGGCACACCATGGGCACAACACAAAAACATGTGTTATAGATCAATACAGCCTATGCTTAGGCATCCCTGTGAAGTGCAGTTCTGCAAGGGCACACGATTCCGAGTCGACTTTACACAAGCTGAGTCGACTTAAGGCTAGTACCTAGTAAGGTTCCCATCCACAGTAGCGTAGGATAGTCCATTGGTGACACCCACTGGATGGTCCCTGTCGAAAGTCGTTTGTCGACATGCACCTCCTTTGGAATTGGTCTACAGCAATTAAAGTCTATTCCCAGTGAAGAAGTAAGTCTGGAATTGATATTGTAGTCTTCACTGCAGGTTGATCACTCATGGAAGCTTATTTTTGAAGGTCAGAACCTCCTCACATCGGAAAAAACGGCCTCTTGGATGCACCAGGCGGTGGCCTCTCCCATTGCTGGGATCTAAATCGATCGGTGAAACAGGTCTATGACTGAAAGGAGCACTTCCTTCTGGGCCAAGACCCATTTGTAAGCTGGTGGTGTGGTCCCTGCACTGGAAAATGAGAATGAAGCTGAAGCTGTTTCTTATCCGTTCTCTGTCACACCTCTCCCATTCCATTTGCAATTGATGTTTGTGTAACTTCGCCCGACGAAGTTTGAAGGAAATCTGCTGCTTGGCGTGGATTTCTATGGATTATCCTGCATGATCCTTCTTCACAAAAAATCACCAAGGAGCACGTAGAGAGTTCAAAAGGAGGTCCTCTTCGAAAGGCCGAAGCACCATCTCAAGGCACCAAGGCCGACAGATACACTAATTACTGACTCCAACAAAACATACACTCTGGCTAACATGGAAGTGGAAAATCCTTGCTTTGGTCAAGGAAAGTCGTCTTCTCTTTCTCCCATTTTCCATTTCCATGTTCGTCAGAGTGTAAGTCAGGTGACAGACATCGAAAGACGTCCGTCGAGCCCTCGGAGGTCCATCGATCCGCGATGCGGACGGCGGCCCAGTAGGTGCACTCCTAGACCAGGCTGCAGCTACTCACCGAGCTCCTCTCGGGCAGTTCCTCCCGAGCCTCACTTTCCAAACGTTTGAGGTAGAGGTATGCGCACGTACCTCCAGGGAGGGACTTCCCCGGCAGCAAAGGTTTGAGAGGTGTCTGTTCCACAAGGTTTGATGCGGACTGGAACTGTTCCGATTTCTTGATGAATGACTGTCCATTGACCGACTGAGACTTAGACTTAGACTTGAACATACTGAGACTTAGACTTAGACTTGAACATACAAATGATTGATCTATTTTTGTCTGTCATCTAAGAGGGATGTAGTAGACTTAGACTCTAGACTTTGTTCGTGCCGTCTTGGCTGCAAGGCACTGGCAGTGCAGAACTAGCGTGATGTTCAAAAAACTGAACCGTCTCATGGATGTGCAAAGTGGAAGAGTGTTGGAGTAAGTAAATGGCTGCAAATCAACAAAACAAAAATAAAAGAACATTGTATTTTTATTCCGTCTTACCATGAGATTTATATACTACATGCCCTTCTTGAAGCAAGCAAATGTGTCATCATCCCCTTGCTGCTTCGAAAAATCAGTATCATTGTGGAGGTAGGTAGGATTGATCAGAACCCTCTTCCTTCAACCTTGTCGGCCATAGTTACAGTAATTCATCGGCACTTGCCATCAACTCGCTTGCGGCGCGGGTTATGCTTATGCTTAATGATGGCTGCCATCAAGATGCCCACACCCGGCATCGACTGCAAATACAAGGCTCCTCCCAAGTACCTGCAAAGCAATGAGCAGGGCAAAGTGGCGCAATGGCATGGGGCATAGGTGTGGTTTCACTACAACGCCTCAGTCCTGAATCATAGTCCTAGTTCTGTGTTGCTACTTGGTCATTAGCTAGATTGCAACAAGGGTTGCGCTCAACCCTTGCAACATCACAAAAGGAAATTCCAGTTTTTTGCCAACATCCCAACCAAATCCATTCTGTGCCCCCAACGGCTATATATATATATATATACGCAGGAGGCTCGGTCCGCCCGCCTGGCATAGAGCCTGCTCAGTGGCAAACCGACTCCATAACCTTCGCCGGCCGTGACGATTAGAGTCGTTGGGATCCGCCGCACGCCTTTCCCATCGAAACCCCCACGGTAGAGCCGTCTAAGTCTATATCCGAACAGGGACATGAGGGCACGTCGAGTCGTGGCGCCCCGGCGTTTAGTTCCTCAGACCGAGGCTTCACACTTACAGTAGGTCCTCTGCACCCTCTCTGCACCCTCTATTTAGAACTAGGGTCTAGGAGACATCTTTCAAAGTGCGCTTGGAATATGAAGAAAGCGGGCATCTTTGCGCTCAAAGAGTGCTTGTTGCCACGCAGCACGTACACCATCTTGCAGCAGAGACGCCTGCTAGGGGTGTCCCTTGCTCATCAAACTCCCGGGCAGCCTGGCAGAGCATGCGATTCAATTGCCATCAATTCGCGGCAGGCTTCGTTCTGAATCAGCGGAGCAGCCCAGCAAAGCGAGACTGCCCGGCAAATCCCAGCCTTCGAAGCAGTGGAGTACATGTAAGACCAGACCTGGTCGGGGGCTGCGGCCGGGCTCGTGATTTTGCTGGACCATCTTGAGTCAAGCTGTTGCGAACTAGCTCACACAGTTGCAAATCGGCACAGCAAAGTCAAGCAGCCAAGCACATGTGACATTCAATCTTCATGAATTGCATGGATTTTTGTGAGGAAGCGTGTGTGAAGGTCTCGGAACATATCAAGGTATTCTCCGTGTCAAATTCCAACAGCTTTCTGACTTCTTGGCATTCATTGGCATTCTAAGGTGTAGAGATGTAGTACCCTAGTAGAGATGTATCGCTACATCTCGTGCTCCATCTGGCTACATCTCTGTCTTCGGCGGCGGCGGCCGAAGCCGGGTGTTCGGGCTTCGGCGCCTTCTCCGCCGCATGGAAGGGAATCCCTCCTGCTTGGTCCCACACACGGATGGCCACCTCGGTGGCGGTGCCATGGCGCAAGAAACAGCGGTTTTTCGGTCACTTCGTCGTGGCGCCTGCCTTTTTGCAGGATTCCAAACACACTTCCGCCCTCTTTCTTCCTCAGTCAATTGTTGAATGTTGCATGCCCCCTCTTCACAAATCCCATCGGCATCTTGCGCCGGGAGCAGCAGAAAGGTTCTTGGTGCCAACTACCATCCGAATTGAGCCTACAACACACCTGCGCAGGATCCATCAGAATCTTGTGAGGATCCCAATGAAAGGCATTCCAAGGGTAATGTTAGGTATCTATAGGTATCTAAGTAATGTCATGGTATGTCAATTCCTCTTGGATCCGCCCGGCGGCCGTTTGCAGGGAACCCGGTCCGTGCCCCCCCCCGCCTCGCGGCGATCGGCCCCCACGGTGATGACGATGGGCCGCCTCTGGCCAGGGTTCTCCTGGCCACCGAAGATCAGCCGCGAAGAGACCAGGGTAGCAAGTTCAAGTACTGGTGACATGCAGCTTGCACCGATGAACAGTTCATGATAGTTCATGACTCCATGACTCCATGACAGTTCTATATTATGTGCATCTATCTTGTGGGACATCCATGAGGGAAAAGGTGGTTCATGTGCCTTTTAGCGGGCCTCAAGAATGCTTTCAACGCTTTTCGAATCTGTCAACCTTATATAAGCATTGTTCGGATTGTCCTTTTCCATTTCACTCTCGCTACCTGCGTCTACAGTCTCCTATAGTCCTTGTCTTTTTTCTCTCACCCACGACCGGACATCTTGCATGTTAGTAGAGATCGGCAAGGCCTGCTTGGAAGCTAGTTGCGGATATGTAGATATATATATATATATGTGTGTGTGTGCATATATAGTAACTATAGTAAAAAACAATATATATATATAAGATAAATACATATAGTTATACTTTTGTATATATATTTTTTTTATATCTGTGCGTGTGTGTGTGTGTGTGGGGAGGGGACTGGCCATGTACGTTCTTCGAACTTTGGGGCCGGAGCTGAAAACGCTTCGGGGAACAAAAAACGGATCACACGTCCGAGTGGAGAGGGCGTCGCAGAGCCCAAGGAGGTGAAATCGACGTGTTCCACCGGCTCCTGCTGAGCCTCTACTGTGGCACGAGCGCTGTTCTTCAGCAGCTCCTCAATTTCTCATGTGGTTCGGCAACCGTCTAAATACGTGTCGCGTGGCGCCATGGACGCAAACGGAAGAAGTGACCAAAACAGTCCACCTGATGGCTGTGCAACCAAGATAACGAAGGCAGTAACGAAGGCTTCTACACACTCGATTGAGGACCCCAAAGATCTTGGCGCACGTCCCAACCAGCCCCAATACAAACATATACAAACTATATATTATATATATAATACATGTATATATCGCCAAGAGTGAAGTACAGTACTTGCTCCTTATTGAAGCATTCTCACGAGATCTTTTCCCCATCTTTCAGGGATGGGTTTATGCTAGACCAAATCCACTCTCCGAGGGGCCACCATGATGTAGAACAAATAGTTGGGCACATAGGGGAACCGGATGCGGCTCCTCGGTGCATGCATGGGTATGCCCCATCTGACCATCATAGACAGCAGCACAGCTCAGCATTCAAGTGCTGTACACAAAGTTTTCGGGCGCCAGAGTCCAATCATTCCAGGAAGAACTCCCACCTGGCACAAACCTAAAGATCCTAAAGCAAAACCGAATCATCACAGAGGCACCGTGAAAAACTCCCGGTCTGCCACGCTAGTCCTCCACACCAAGCCACTCAATCTCAAAGCTCGACTTCCCGCCCACGCCACTCTCAACGACGATTTCCACATCTGCGGACTCGTCGTAGTGCTGTTTCACCAGCTTCCGGGCATGCCTGGCAAAATCTCAAACAGCACCGCAAACCCTCGATTCAACCAGAGTTAGTGAAAATACGTGAAAATCCGTAGACCGGAACTTTAGACCGGTTTGTTCATGTGCGATTCTAGGTCTTGAGTCTTCACCCTAAACAACCTCACCACTTTTGTGGTGCACTCAAAGGCAAAGAACATCGCCCATCGCACAGCAATCGGCAACTGGACCCTCGATCCGATAACATGTAGCAAGTCCCGAGACGCTTGGGTAAGGCAAACATTCTGCTTACTCTCTTGTAATATGCTCCAAAATGCCCACCCTGTCGCCCCCGCGCTCTCACCACCTCAACCCCGTCGCCCCCTGCCGGTCGCCTGGCCGCCTGTTCGCAGATGTTCACCGGGTCGCAGGCGAAGTCCACCACCCCCACGCGGCGCCTGCGCAGTGCCACGGCGTCCGGCTTGGCCGAGGCCATGTACTGAGAGGTCAGCATCTCCTGGTGACGTCAATCGAGGGGATCACAGAGTCCCAATAATCCTAGATGGTCTTTTGTCATCTATTTGTTACTAGTAGCTTCTTGTTGCTAGTAGCGATGGCCTCCAACCTACTTGCGATGGCCTCCACCTAATAGCGTCCTAATATTGCTCCATATGCACCTGAGGCACACAAAATCATCTTTGTGCTGGTGCATCGGTGCATCTATGTAGAAATGGAACGCAAACCCCAGCGTGACACAGCTCTCTCAAGCGTCTAGGGACAGGGGAGCAATGCCTAATCAAAATCCCCAATCCTTCGTGTTCAACAGTTGTGTTATGATATGTTGTGATTCCGTTCAGGGTGTCACTCTTAGGTTATTTGGGAGTTCTTCCTTCCAAAACTGGTATAATGCATCCAAAAACGCTCGTGCCCCCCTCATTCCCAGTCTCTGCGTGGCACAGCTTCTTACCCGTCCGTGCCAATGCGAGAGAGGAAGAAGGCATCCAGCCACTGCACAATGGCAGCTTCAGAGTAACCATCAGCCCACTGCAAGTTCCTCATTGCTGTCGCCAACATGGGAATCACCTGAGGTCGGGCCGACACATGTCGCAGGTGCTGAATCAGGCTGAGGAGAATGGTTTCGACGACTGTACTCATCACATCCAACCCACATGTCACCTATTAGGCCCAAAACTCTACTGGGTGGCTTGGATGCGTCTCTCGCGCACCTTCGCAACTCATGCTGTCTCTTTGGAATGGCTCAAGTTTCCTATCTACCTGCGGCAGTCCAAAGAGCTCAAACTGGTGGCTGTTCTGAGAGAACCACCTTCCTTTCAGGAGTCCTAAAGACCAGGATCGTCCTTTTCTCATACCGAAGGACTATCTCAAGCCACCTCTATACGTCCAGGAAGCAGTTCAACTAGAACACTATAACAAAGTGGACTGTTAGAGTGTTAGAGTGTCATCCCTCAGAATAATGTGCTGCTAATGAGCAAATATTAGAAAACTGTCTGAACAACCAAGGAAGATTCATGGATGTGCCTGCTCTGCTGACTGCAGGTTTTTCATGCTCTACCACATGTGCCACTATCAGACTATAAGTGTCATGCTTGTGTGTGCTGCAGTTCAGGTGCTCACCGGTATTCTGTCCGCTCTCCTATAAAGACTGTTTCTGCGACCCCTCTCTTCGAGTTTCGGGCTGAAATAACTATTATATAGATAAATAAATGTATATATATATATATAATTGATTCCGTGTTTGAACTGCCGCTTGAACTTCCATATCTTCCATCTGCTTCCGCTTCTGTACTTGGCCGATCCGTGGCCATGAAAGTACTCGAGGCGCTTCTTTCATCCTCCCCTTGATGGTCTCAATGACTTCAGTGAAGGGCTCGAGCTCCTTCACATCCAGCCTCGGTCTCGGATTGATGGGATGTCCTGCACCACCGGCGTACTGCTCGTGGTCAACCGACATCACCCACGTAGGGCCGGGACAATTTCACCGGCCACACATGCAAAGCGGTCATGGCACATCATCCCAACTAAGCCTCCCCCATCGCATGGCATGACATTGATGATGGTCGTTCTCCAGCGGGAACCGTATTGCTCGCTTGAGCCGTTCAGACTCGTTCAGACTTGTCAGACTTCGTGCTCTTGAGTGAACATGTAGACTGTTCATGAATACACTTCCTGAACCAGAATGGCTTTACGATGCTTTACGTCTCCATATAACTAGGGGCTTGGTTCACCCTAAGCAGTCCTGGCCTGGAGGCCAGGATAACCTGGTGATTTGGGTTCGATCCCGTCGGATTCCCGCCAGTCACTGCTGGATCCCGTCGGATCCCCGCGGCCCAGCGCCCAGCGCCCAGCAGCTCGACGAGGCGGATGTCTTTGAAGTTCTCAGAGTAGAGGCGGTGGACCTACATCTTTTGTCGTCGGTCGTGGAAGGCCGCGAGCTGCTCAAGTCTTCATTTGGCCAGGCCAGATTCTTTCAATGAATGACTAGTATTGCCATAGCATGCCCATGTCATACTTCTTACTCTAGTTCGTGGTTGCAGAAAGGACCGAGCTACAAGGGCTCCCTACTGGGCTAAGAAGCAACCCCCCCAAACCTCATAGGGGTGCACGACTTCCATAACAATGCGTGGTGATTTCTCTCAAAATGTGTCTCAAACTGAGGCTTCCGTCCCAAAAAAGAAACATCCTATCCTTTCCTTCTCTTCCTTGGAGGACAGCACCACATGTGTCGTGAGTCTTCGGTGAGAGAATTCAAACCAGCTCAGTTTGAGAGCCTCGACCAGCTCCCTCGAGGCTTGCCACTCCGGCAAGGCTTCGATCTGCAAGATGCGCTGCGCGTAGCGGATCGGGAGCTCCTGAAGCGGCAACCAATCAGACAAATGCAGAGCACTCCAGGAAAGGGCAGGATGCAGGATGGTGGACATGGAGAGCAATCCAGCAGCAAAACGGACGGCCCATCAACTGCATCACATGGTTCTCAAGTTGATGACCTTACCAATAAATGGATATAAATGGCCCAATCCCACAACAAATCCCACCATCAACCTGCGACCCTTCCAATAGGAGACACCAAGGTGCCCTGTAGGCCAAGTTGGCCGCTTGTTCAGGAGTCTTGGCATCCAAGATCTGCCGCAGCGTGATGCTCTTCCTCAGGTTGCTTCTTCCCCCGACCCCTCAACAAAGGGATGACTCGCCCATTGGGAACGAGAGCCTGCGAATCGACATGTCCTGGTCCAGGATCACGGCCCAAGGGCATTGGGGCATATGGCCTGATTCTCCACACAGGACATCCCAAACCTAATGGAAGGAGCCAGCATATTCTCGTCCAAAATCATCCGACAAAACTATCGAATCGGAACGAGTCACTGACACGAATGCTTTTCACTGAGTCACCGAGGGCGAAAAGGGAAGAAAACATAGAAAAGACCGCGGATGGACAAACAGCTGTTTCGGGCGTTCCCACTTGTGGGCAATTGAATGACCATTCGCACAACCAGCTTCCGGAATCGTTTCACCTGTAGTAACGTTTCACCATGTAGTAATAGCAACGATATAACCCTTTTGGTTAAAAAAATGTCAAAATGAAGCTTCGGCCCGTAACCGCTTTCGTCGGTTTCTTCCCGGCCCGAGCATCGGCTCCCGCGAGGCGAAGAACACCACCTCGGCCTGCAGGAACTCGTGCAGCCGCTCCTGGCGACCGTCGAGTCCGGACGAACGAAGGCGGTGGAAGAACGAGGTGGTTTCGAACGAGGTTTGAAAGAAGACGAGGTCTCTGGATGTCTCTGGATCAACTTGACGGGTAGTTTTACAATCACACTCCCAAATGGTTTCAAGCTTGGATCTTCGGTCATAGAAGATCAGGATAAACGTGTCTCTGAGAGAGAACCTACTAGTAAGGCCAGTTTTGCCCAACATACAATCTCAAGAACTGCCAGTTGCTGCCCGATTGTGCTTTTAGCCTCAGTCGAAGCAGCCCAAATCTCCTCGGAGACCTGCACCTCTCTTGAGAAGTGCCGTCGAAGCCTGGCTGCACAAACCCAACCTAACACCGTTAGGCTCATGGATCTCAGAACTAGCAACACAGCTGAGCAACAAGTTGAAAACATACGCTGTATGTGTTTGCTGTTTCTGGTAACAAATTATCTGTATAGTATAATTTACATATATATATATAAATATAATATGTATATGTATACCTCCTTTGAATCAACGCGTTGAATCATTAAAATCACCTCACCAAGTGCAGTCACAACCCAGCCTGTCCGCAGCCCAGGGCAGGTGCGCTCTCACGCGAAACGGCGCAAGGCGCCACATGGTCACGGTGGCTGAGGCTGTGAGTGTATTTGAGTTGTGAGACTTTCAGGTTTAGGAGAAGCTCTGTATGGCTACGTGTGGCTAAGAGGTGGATTTGGGGGGATGCTCAGCTTCCTCACAAAGGCCTGGTATGCCGATAAAGAGAAACCATTCAAGTGATTGAAGTGGCTAGCGGCTATCCGAAGGCCCCCCCTGCATGGATTTGCTCTTGTACTGGTCAGTTCATGGTGTTGCCTACTTATTCATCACCAGCTTCAATCCGTTGTAGGTACTCCGTGGGCCTTCGGCTGGTTTCAGCCCACCAAGGTCAATTGCTTGTAACTAGTAGTGTTGAAGTGTGATTCATGGCCAAAGTTAGCAGGTGGCAAGGCAAGTAATCTTGAGTATAGGGCTATCTTCGTGTGTGTGTGTGTGTGCGGGGCGGCACGGTCCACCTGCTTGCCACTTGCCACTAGGTCTTTCAGCTTCATGCGTGGTCTCTTGACAGGAAGAGCTTGCAATACATGTTCAAGTGGATTCGTAATAAAGGCACATCCAGTGACAACATACAGTACCTTAATTACATGAACACTGTACCGGACACCATCTTGCAAGCACCGAAATAGGCTGGACTTGCGCTAGTACGGACAGCTGGCCTCTTCTTTTGTTTCCTTCAGCTGCCCACCTATCTACACTACTCGAGGAATGTCTTTCCTAGCCCTTTGTTGACTCCCAGCTAGCGCTCGCCGCCCAGGTTACCCCAGGTTCCACCTTCATGGACCCCCAGTTCCACCTTCATGGACCAGGGGGTTTTGGTTCATGCCCACTCTCAGTTCCATGCAAAGGCCCCAAAACGACCGGAGCTGCTCCGGTGGCACCTGTGGGAAAAGAACCGGGAACCCGTGCCACCAGCTTCGCGCCTCCCGTGCACGTCTCTTGGGGCGAGGGAACAACAGCGCCTGGAGCCGCAAAATCGGTCCGTCGAAACGACGGAATTCGACTCTTCCGGTGACGGGAGGATCTGACCGAATCTGACCGAATCTGGATTCGGATCGTTTGGGGAGGCTTGTCTGGCAATCAGCCAATTGAGGGTCATCTGCAGTTCTTTGGAAGTCTGGAAGTCGCCTGTTGCGAGGACCAACTCAGGGTGTAAGCGAACTAGTGCTCTCAACGGAGCATTTAGGGCTCATCAAGGTTTGTTCCCGCTGTTTTGCAGGCTTTTGGGAATCAGAGTTGTTGACCAGCACAACCTACTAATAAGCAGGCAACTCACCCCTCACTTAGTGAAAGTTCAGATCACCAAAATGCACCAAGAATGGTCTTGTGGGCCTTCTTCACTGTGGGTGAATTGCGCCTACAGCCTACAGTGATTCGGGCCATCCAAAAAGAACCACCGAACAGCATCGTGGATCCATGATATGAGGTGAGATCTATGAAATCCGTTAAACCGTTAAACCTCAATAACTACGTGACTCCACACCAAATTCACTATGGCAAAATGAAGAGGCCTCCACATCGAAAGCCCACGCATGACAATTCAATCCAAGTGCGGTCGCCCATTTGGAAGTGCCTGCCTGCTCCCCATGAATCTCTGCTTCTCCCATCTGCCGCTCTTCCTGCGGCAGTTGCAAGGCAGAACGACGGCGATCCTCCGTTCAAGACGTTCATGAACAACCTCCATACTCAACGGCAACATGTTCCTCTCAAAGTTATGGAAAGTTGTTTGCCACCATGACCAAGGAATGAATATCCATTGAAGAAACTATTTTGCTGTGCCCCAGGTGCTTATATAATGGTACTGCGTTTTGACCAGGAGCCTTGCTCGATGCATTTTTGAACAGTCCTGGCTCTTTTTGAGCTTTTCCCTCAGCTCAGACAGAGCCACCTGACCAATCGTTGCTGCTGGCAAGTCGGGCGATGCATTTACAACATGGGAAAACAGTTCTTTTGTGAAGGAAGCGGGCTTTGAAGGAGGTAAGTGAACTTCCCATTCAATCAAATTTCAAGGTTGCAGCAGTGAGTCAGAGCCTAGGTTGTCACATCAGAGCCTTCTCCCATGATATATCCTTGGCACATCTTCATCTTAGCCTAGTCTATCTAGTCTTGGTATCTGCTGATTCTGGTGCGACCTGACAATCATGAACCTGCCAATGGGAGAAAAAAGGGGGCAACACACTGGTGTTCATCTCCCTGCCGGATCAGAGATCCCACCTCTCCCTCGGTGGGACGAGACTCCGGGGCCATCCCAGAGTCCTGCACGGGTGGAGAAGGCACAGCACGGCGATGATCAACTGGGAGGCCCTTTACGAATCAATGAGCCGATCATGACCACCTACCCCATGTCCGACATGAACCCCCCCGGAGCTTCGGTCCTCTTTTCGGAGCACATGGGAGGGAGGGGAGTCGGGGATCCATGCACTAAGGCAATGAAAACCATTCAGAACCTATGCTTAGATATATGAAAACCTGCATTAGATTAGGTCCAGGTACATATTGATCATGTTGCAGCCAATATGTGGTTGAATATGTGGTTGTGGTTGATGGGCCTTAGAGGTTGAGCGAGCTTGGCGGCGTTTGGATCCACAGTTCTACTATGTTTCACTATCTTTCACCGTTTCACCTGTCCTTCTTCTTCTGGTGTCATCTGGAGCTTTGAGAGACAACACGACACACGGCGCCTCCGGAGCTCTCCGCTTGGAAGCCAAAGCTTCCCGCTGCCGCACCAGCTCCTTGGGCGCGCCCAGCGCGTGGGATCCACCCAGTACGACAACGAGACCCATCTTTCAGCTTGACCCAGTCAATCCCAGTCAGCTGGGTCTTGAAGAACACAAAACCGGGGACGGGTGAAACTTCACCAAAGGTGTTGGCGTGTGGGAACCTAAAGCAATCATTTAGATTCTAGATGCTTCTTGTGGAAGCCAGCTGTCATTGGCATTCATTTCTGCCGGTCGAAAGTGCTGGTTGGCATCGCTCTATAAACGCATCATGAAATTAACGCATTCTGGCCAAACCTGAGGGTCCTTGCCAACCCATGCTACGTAACCCTGCTTTCCCCTGCCTGTTGCAGCTGTCGAATCCGCGTCTGCCGTGCCTCAGCCTCACAGGTGTGGAAAAGAGCGGCAGCCGAAGGAAGCGGCCCGTTTGCGGTCCAGGAAGCGTGGTCCTTGTAGAAGGGACCACTGGTCTCTTTCAGGGGAATTGAGATGTCCAAGATCGAGTATGAACACATACGATGGGTCCTGTGGCCACCTGTGGGACAAGTAGCCGGAACTCTTTGGGAAAGAGTTCATAAGCCAACCACAGGTTGAGTCCTTTTCTAGCCTTGGTTGCATCGTTTGATGCGTCTCCTCCTCTGTTTTTGGGTGCTACTCCAACTACGAAAAAGAATGCATCCGGCACATGTCAACACAGAACGGATTTGCTAGTTGTGGCAGGCCCTTCTGGGGACCACAAATCAATCCCGA